TCTTTCCAAGCCTGGAAAATGTCAGCTGAATACGCCAATGAGATCGATCAGATATTAAACAATATGAACCTTGCAAATGAATGCAAGGATAGCAGGGATAACCATTTCAAGAGTCGAAATCGGCAAATCACCGAACTCATATCTGAAAACGTAATAAACGAGAGTCGAACGACAGAAGACGATGAACTCACTACAGGGATAGACGAAGAAGCCTTGCACGATCTGCTACAAGACATGAGCAATAAGAATGCCAGGAATTTCGAGGGAGATGACCCTGAAATTGCAAGTGTCGTACAAAGTCTTGAACACAATGGGTTGCTTACCGCGGAGAATAATAGTGAGATGGTCGACGTCGAAGGTATTATCGAAGAAGTTGGAAGCGACACTGATTCATATGAGGCGGAATGGAAAGCGTCGTATGATAAACGAAAGGCTATGTGGAAACAAAGAGAAAGGTTGCAATCGTGCGACCACGCTATGGAAACTAACTTACCGGCAGATGCGCCCTTTTTAACGCAAACTACACAGCATCGGATGCCCCAAATTGTCAATAACGCGGCCACCTCATCACCATTCGCTGGACCTTTGAATGAGCCGAATAACCATATTGGTGTTAATCATGTAAGAAGTCTTGAGCCAGATGATTTTATTGTTAATTGGCGTTTGAATGAAGAACAAGCACTTGCCTTTAAGATAATTGCGAACCAGAGCTTAAAATCGAGAGGCTTTGAAGATCCCCTGAAGATGTTTCTTTCCAGTCCCGCCGGAACTGGCAAAAGTCGAGTGTTTAACGCTCTCAGATCCTTTTTCGAATCCAAAGGCCAATCTCGTCGGTTCCGTGTCTGTTCATATATGGGCATCGCCGCGAGAAATGTGGGTGGGATGACGCTTCATGCAGCCTTGTGTCTTAGTCAGAAGAAAGGTGGAGCTAAATCAAAGGAAAATTTAATATCAATGTGGAATGGCGTGGATTTTCTTCTAATTGATGAGGTATCTATGATCAGCTGTGAGTTTCTATTGCAGATTAGTGACGCTCTATCAAATGCAAAAGGCAACTCACTTCCGTTCGGAGGAATTAACGTGATCTTCGCCGGTGATTTTGCACAGCTTCCACCTTTCCAAACTAGACTTTATGCCAATGTGACATCGAAATATAAAATGGGTACCACAACAAAGGAACAAAAAATGTTGGGTCGTCTCTTATGGATGACAATCGATACTGTGGTGGAGTTAAAGACTAATATGAGGCAGCAGGGAGATAAGAACAAACATTTCTCAGAACTTTTAAGTCGTCTCTGAACAGGAAAATGCAACGAAAGCGACTATGACTCTT